AAGGGGGAAAAATGAAAAGGAGATTTTCACCATGCGCAATCACACTATGATGATTGACCGAAGAACATGATGCACGCAACGAAAATTGACTCGATGGCACTGTCTCAAAATGCCGATACCGTTACCCCTGTCGTTAGCTTCAAAAGCAAGAAGATGCCGCGACGAAAGCGAAGACTATACGCTAATGATGATTCCTCGCCCATCTCATCAGAGCAAAACGTATCGCGATCTTGTGGTCCGTCGCCATTGATGTATAAAACCTTATCCAATGCAGCATAAACAAGTCGTCGCGGCGATGAGAACAGACACTACGAAAGTGCCAGGTAGCAGCAGAGCAGCATTATGAACTTTTTTCCTGAAAGGAGATTGACAGGTAGGCATGAACTGATCAATATCTGGCCTTAAAAGAGATCGAAAAGTTGCTGGCAATGGGAGAAGGTTGGGTGCGTGCCTTTTTTCCAGGTTGATGGCAGGTATACGCAACCACTTACTCCCCCTAACTTTTGTTAGCACCTAAAATCCTAAGCTCCGAACGCAGTTATCGATATATCTCTCCTTTGTCGGTAAGCGTCATGTGGCTTGGGGTGTGCACGACATCAATGTATTGCAGAGAGAGCCCCTCGTATTTTTAGTTATCTCTTTCGAATTAGTGAAAATGAAGACAGATGAATGTATTGCAGAGAGAGCCCCTCGTCATGTGGCTTGGGGTACGCAACAATTAATGAAAATGATGGGGCCCCGCGACAGTTGTTAGACTGAGACCTGAGCAAATAATCAGTAGACAACAGGTCCACGCTCGTGGGTACCCTTTCAATGAAGACAGATGAACGTACCGTTGTACGGGACGAGTAGATATCTGGCGAGAATATATGAAGGGTTTACCAGAATGTGATACCCACAGAGCTTTAGAGCTATACGTTTGTGAACCAAATTATTTCAAGTAAAATGACAAGGAATAGCCTTTGGTTTAGATCACTGAAGATTTTGAAGGATGTCGAAGATGCCAGAAAAGATCGACGCGGCATCTGAAAGCGAGAAATTCTCGATGAGATTCCTGCAACTTGGAAGCATCAGCTGGGTTGAGTTCATGAACAAGGACAAAAGAAGGAAAACTGAGAAATATTATGACGTTCAGCTTAATTCTCACTATTAGCCACAAGTTGAGAGAGCGCAGGAAAATATTAACACGATAATATTTATTTATCTATGGGTTAAAGGAGAAATAACAACAAAACAATCGCCTTGCCATGATTTAGTTAATAAATTGAACTGTACCAAACGTCTAACACACTTGAAGAAGAACTAGGTGGAAGAAGGTAATGAAATGTGCAAAGACAATTAATTATTGCAGTTAGTTCAAATCATATTTCGCAAAATGTAACCTGTTAGCTAGGACCGCGTCCGTACATTTGAGTTTATTTGATAATAATAAATCTCCATGTCGGTCTAATATATATGTCTAACGTTATATACAAGTTATAAGAAGTTACAATCAAGTTCGAAAGTGAATAGAGCAAGATGATAAGTTAATTACAGCTAATTCTAGAAAAATATCAAAAGTAAAAGCAATTATGTTTGAGCATATGGGATTTTCCATCTCTTTGTCATGAATCCAAAAGAACAAACCAAACTCAATTTTGAGATGTATAGCACGAGATATGAACGTTTTAGCGAGACAACGTCGAAATAGTCAACAATAGTTCGGGAACATATACTGATGCTAAAACTTGCATGAGCTATAACTTTTGACTTGGTTTCAGAATCACTATTAATTATTATAGATTTTCGGAAAGTTATCAATCTGGTCTATAAATCATCAATGGTTCTATCAACAATCGATCAAGCAAATGTCCATATAGTTTTAGCTCATCGATGGTTACAACTTAACCAGTGATGGTGACAACTTGACCATTAATGGTTAAGTTCAACCATCGATAGTTGATCAGATTTGTGATTTTAATCTATTTTGAACTCAATATTAGTCATTCATTACCAAGGGTATATAAGCTCCTTCCTCACAGTTTTCAAACAAGTTCTTGACCAAATCGAGAGAGAAAAAGAAAGAGGAAGAGAGAGAGTTAAGGTTTCAACCTAAGAGAAAAGATCTTGCTCATGCTTCTCAGAAAACATCCTCAACATTGTTCCTCATCATCAAATCTTCAATCCTCGAGGAGTATTGCCCTTAAACTTCATTGTCATCGTCATTCTTCTCAAAGCTTCATTTTAATCATTTGGAGAACAGTTTGCACAATCAAAGGGCTGCAAGATCTTTCTATATTGTGCTTAATTGATATTTAATACTTTGTATTAAACTTATTTTTTATGATGTCCTCAAGCTAGGGTTTAATTGAGGAACTGGTCACTAGTTAGGGCTAGGGTGGCTCGTGTGTGAAGAATTATGTTAGATAGCTAGTTAGGAGAAACTAGGATTTCGGTCTTGTAAGTTTGCTGAATTGGGTTTGTAATTCATAAGAACTTTCATATAGTGAGGGAGCTCCTTCGCGATAAGTAAGAGTGGATGTAGGATTATTTATCCGAACCACTATAAAATCTCGTGTGTTCTGGTTGTGATTATTCATGTGATCATTGCGTTGCTTATTGTTTTAATTTTATCTGTTTTATTTCTGCTACATATTATCTGTGATATCGAATAGCGAGGAGGGAGGGGTCAAGTGGGCACATGACCCCATGACCCCCACCCCAAACCCAACCCATAAAAACCCATCCAACCCACCCATACACAGCAAACACCCAAAAAAAAAAAGACAACTTCTGCGCCCAAGGAAAATCCTCTCGAAGCTTCATGTGAGCTTCTTTTGGTGAAACAATTTAAGACGCACTTCATCTTAAAAATACAAAATGGTTTAAGGCCCAAATTTTAGTGGGTTAGATTGCTCTCTAGGAGTGGTACGTAGTGTAATTTTAGGATGCATATATATAGTAACCTTTACGTGTATTTTTCCGTAATTGAGTCTCTCATAAGCACCCTAGTTCTCTCTCCAGCCAAAGGATATTCAAAGCTTCAGAGACTCAAAAATTTAATATTAGGCAAGGTAATTTAGACATCAGAGTTGCGGAATTTTGATTTTAGGAGGGGTAATTTGATCAAACCTAGCTAAAATTTTCTCTCACGTTGTTCAAGTTCACATCTTGAGAAGTTTGTTCATAGTATTTGGGATGAAAATTGCCTTGTTCTTCAATTGGATGCAACCGTGCAACTCTTTTGCTCCTTAATATTTTATAAACAAGGTTTAATATGACAAAAGTTTTTACGGACAAGTTTTTTGCTTTTGATCATTCTTGATATAGAAAAAAGATCACTTCTATAGGGATCTTGTGCTTTACGTGTGGTTTTTGCTAAATTGACACATCTTAAAGGACCAAACTATAAATATTGAATCAATGGAGATGTAACTTTTAAAAAGTAGCAAATTGTCGGGATAGTTTGTAAATGACATTTTAGTATGAATTACTCCTCCTTTTTCATAAATAACCATTTTATATGTGATAATTTTGTTAGGTTTTCAAGTTTGGGACTCTAGTCTCTTTCAAAAAATATTGATATTATTGAATATGACTATGAATATAATTGTTTATTATATCTTTTAATAGATGAAACAAGGGTGCCCTCACAAGCTCTAATTCCTGACTTTGCCACTGACGGTCTACGATTATATTCAATTCCTTAGCTTGCATCTCAGATCCAACACACCCAAAAACAATATTTACTAGTTCACGGACAAGAAATTGATTCTCCCGATTGAGAAAATATCGCTTAGATCGAAGCATTGATGGAAGAACAGAGAGCTGAGAAAAAACGCGGATGGATAGACCGCGTAAAAGTGATGATCCCGTTGGAGGCAAGCATAACAAATAATGAATTAGGCCTACTAATGCCTACTAATTCTTTGTAATTGTTGTTCTCAGATATTATAGGCCCACAAGCTAAAGCCCAACATTGACTGCTAAAGATTTTTGAAATTTTGAAGAGAAAAATGCTTTTTAAGGACCCAAAATATGGGGCCAATGGATGGAACATGTGAGGTGTCCCCTCCCTATTACATAATGAGCTGGTTATGTCAGCTCATTATGCAATAGGAGGGGACATGTGAGAGCCAGCTCATTATGCAATAGGAGGGGGACATCTCACATGTCCCCTCCAATGGTCACATATTTTTGGTCCATGTATATGTGCATGTTTATAAACAATAGTCACAAAAAAGAGGTCCAGAGCACGACAGAGGAGAAATTTACAAAGAGGTCTGTGAATTTAAAATTTTTGGGATAGGTGGGAAATAGTGGATGATTTTTAGTTATTAAATTGAGAAGGTAGTTATGAATTTGATTGTAATTTTTTGTCCCTCTACTAAATTGTAAATTATTGTAAGTTGCGTGCTTAATTTTTGAAAGAGGGGTAATTACATATTAGTCCCTTAAATCATCATTAATTACCAACTAATCTCCCAAATCTCCGTGTTTGCTCATTAGCCCCTCAAATCCGCAGTTTTGTCGCAATTCCGTCCCCTTGGTTTACTAATGTCAGTTTTGTGGGGAATATTCTGTCAACTTAAACAGAAATTAATGGCTTTCCCATTTTACCCTCCCTAAAACTAGCATTATCATTTCAAATCTTACCAACTCATTTCTTAACAGGTTTATACCCACAACCCTCTCAATCTAAAACTAAAACCCTGTAACTCTTTCTTCTCCATCGGTAATATTCCCTCTGCACCCTACGAAGTTTAGGTTACTTGAGAGGTAGAAACTCATAGACCGGAGCAATGAGGTAATTCTAGATGTTTGGTTAAGGTTTAATTTGACAAAAGTTAAGGAAAGCAACAGAATTTCTAACAGAGCGATGAAATTGCAATAAAATTGAAGATTTGAGGGACTGATTAGCAAAGATTTAGATTTGAGGAACTGTTGGGCAATTTGGGATGCTTTAAGGGACCAACATCTAATTAACCCTCTGAAACTTGTTGCGAAGCCCAAAAAGCCCACTCGTCGCTGCGTCTCAGCCCATCGACGCCTTCTGCTCCCTCATTGCTTCGTCGTCTCCATAGGAGACGATCCCCTTCCTGAGTCAAGGTACGAAATTAGTGCCTCCGACCTCCTCAATTTCGATTCACACCCCTAAATTTTCTGCCAAGATGACTCCTTTTTGTTGCCAACCTGTTCAGTTGCGTTGAATATTGCAATTTCCTATGAAATTTACAGTTTTTTTTTTGTATATAAGACTGCCACATGGGTTTCTATTGTAAAAAGATCCCTCCTTTTTATGTTAGAGCCCAAACCCTGATGCAAATCAAGAGATCTTTATATTCTGCCGGTGATCTTTTAGCTCAAAACCCTAGCTCCCAATTATCTCCATTCTCCCTAAAATACCCAAGTGTCTACTGGAGATGTTTGATGCATACCTCTAGGGTTACATTAGATTCTCAAGCTTCTGGGGTTGAAAGTACACAGAATGCTAGATGCTACTCTAAACTGAGGAAGAACAAAGCTAAAGAAGACAATGTATTGATCAGAAGCATAGTTTCTATACTTCAAAGGACGGATAAATGGGATCCATTGCTTAAGCAACTATGTGATATTTCTGGTTCAGAGATCACCTCTCCCGTCGCAGTTCAAGTTCTCAAGCGCATCAAGAAACCTGAGTTGGCATTTAAGTTCTTTGATTGGTTAGATAGTTTACAAGGTTTCGATCATGATAGTGTGACCTACACTACAATCCTCAAGGTTTTGACTAGAGATTGTAAAGCTTCTCATGCTGAGATTGCTGAGTCTTTGCTTCGGAAAAAGATTAGTCTAGGTTTAGATGCGACTCCGTGTGATTATGATTATGTGTTACATCAATGGGCTTGTGTTGGGAGGACCGATATGGGTTTGGGTTTATTGAATGAGATGATTGGACTTGGATTTAGTCCCGCGATTACCTCTTGTAGCATACTCTTGGAGGGGCTTCTTGATTCGAGAGAGGAGGATTTGGGGTGGGATTTGTTTCGTAGAATGCTAGATGGGAGCATTGATGCTCTAGAAACCGAAACCTTCAATGTTGCTATGAAGTCCTTGTGTAAAAAGGGGAAGTTGAACGAAGCGTTGGAGCTTTTCGCAACGATGAGAGGTAAAGACTATGTGCCTGATTTGGATACTTACAATATCTTGATTATGGGGTGTTGCGTGAAGGGAGAGGTCAAAATGATGTTCGAGCTCTTCAAGCATATGCTTAGTACAAAAGTAAAGCCAGATAGTTATACTATGAATCTACTGATTAAGGAGTTGTGTAAGCAAGGTAAACCTGAGTATGGAAATGATCTCTTCAATCACATGAGAAGAGTCGGTTGGTTGGATAGGAAATTTGTGTACTCTCAACTCGTTGAGTCCCTCACTATTTATGGATGGTGGATGAAAGCGCTGAAGATATTCGTAAAGATGGTCAGAAGAGGGCATCATCCAAAGTTAAGCCTTTATAATAATCTTATTAGGCATTTGTGCATGGGTGGTAGGTTAAGGGAAGCACATAAGTTGAAAGAAGTAATGTTAGTGAAAGGCTATTTACCGGAAATTGAAATATACAATGGCTTGGTAGATGGACTGTGCTTGATTGGTAAGATGGAGATGGTTGAAAAATTGTTATTGGAGCTTCGCAATAAGGGTTTGAGCTTTAGTTTTGCGACGCATAACATAATTCTTCGTGGATATTGCATGATAGGAAATGTAAAAGCCACTTTAGAGTGTGTGGAAAGGATGATAGAAGAAGGTTTGGAACCTAATAATGAGTCATGTAAATTGATAATAACTTGTCTTTCTGCTAAGGGAAGTGCTGTTCGACTTAAAGCACTTCAAACTGAGGATCATGATGTGTGTAGATTATTGATTGATGAGCTCAGAAAGTTGAAGGATACGGATTCAACTGCTGATATATCAAAGGAGAGAATAATTTAGTGGCTGTTGCATGATGTTGCTGTACCAAGAAAAAAAATAAATCTTTGGTGCTTAAAATTGTATCAGGGAAGCAATTAGTTAAGGGGGTTGGTGACCTGTGAAGAAATGTTTGATGCTCTTTTTTATAGTGAAGCATACTGTCTAAACCTTTGGGATAAAGGATGGTTTTAGAGAACTTGGTTGGAAGCAATTAAGAAGGATAATGACAATGGTTCACTTAACGGGGGAGAAAGCCAAAGATCGAATAGAATGGAAGAATATGATTCATGTAGCGGACCACAAACATTTAGGATAAAGCTTTGTTTTTGTTGTTGTTGTCGTTGTTGTATACCGTTTAAACGTTACAAGCTTTAGTGTGGTTTGGCGACATTCTCAATGGTTTTGCTGCAGGGATATATGAATTGTGAGGATTAAGGCTTGGGAGAACCAAAGATTGTACAGGAAATGTATAAGTTATTTCCGTCTATAAGAAAATTTTAGAAATCCTTTTTGTAAATTGTTCATTCAAGAAATATTGCTTCTTAACTTAATGTTCAGATTGTTAGAATAATGAAGAGTTCTTTTCCCTTTTCTGCATGATAGCATTGCTTCTTAACTTAATGTTCAGATTGTTAGAATAATGAAGAGTTCTTTTTCCCTTTTCTGCATGATTGCATTTTCTCAATTCAAAATTTTTCTTTTTTTCATTTGTTCTCTGTCATATAGCTTTTACCTTAACATTATTTTTCTAACAATTCTATTAAGGAGTGTAGATAGATGAGAAACGGTAAAGGAATGCAGAAATGCACCACTCTTGTGCAGGCATAAAACAGGAGGAAAACTAGATGTCAAAGTTTAAACTGTATCTGTTGTAGTTCCTTCTTTGTATTTGATGTCATACACACACTAGTATAACACTCTGTTCTCCGTTTTACCCCTTTCCTTTAGTTCAATTCGGTCACCAGTTTTAGCGAATCATCTTTAATTTCCTTTGTTTCTGAACTTTATTAATTAATTAAACACTGCCTGATTCTCCAACATGTAGAAATGAAAAGCATCCTATTAGTAGACTCAATCAGGACATACCAAGGATAGATAGAGTTAGAAGTTTCTAAACTTATACCGGTGATATGAGGCATGAAATTAGCAAATTACCCAAAATACACAGTTAACCTAAGACGACAGAAGCTACAATTGCATTAGTTCTAGTTATCGCTGAATCATATATCTGCATATGCTTCTAGTAAGGCGTTCAATTACTACAGTTTCTTGAAAAATTTCCTTCAATATGCGTGTGTCGTTCTTTAGCCAGCATAAGTGGAAATGTTGAGGTTGCAGGGAATTGCACTCAATTTATTTGTGAGAACTAGATGTGATAATGTAGACTCATGAGAAAGCTTAGTTGGTTAGGGAATATTTCTGCTTTGTTAATATTTAAATTTTGTGAGACTGTAAAATTGAAAGGCTTTTAAATTGTGGCATTACAATTCTTTCCTTAACAAGATGCCATTTAATATTTCTGCATCTTCACATGATGATAAGGCATGGGCACACAAACACAGAAAATTTTGGGGTTATGATAGTAGAGATATTTTGAAATGCTCATACTCAACATGCAGTGTTATCTAATATAACTCTAAACAATATAAACAACCTCCACTTTCTTCTCTAGAGTATCTGCTTTGCTCATGAATGAAGTTCTTCTAGTCTTTCTATTCTCTAGAAGACATAGGGAATCAAAGCCCTGACCTCCATAGGGAAGTTTTGGAACTTAGACTGATACCACTTCCTTGTTGCATAACTCCTGCCCATCAACTATACCATAGAGCCCAAGGCGAAGGAGAAGGCAAACACTGTTTGAGAGATCAATGCAACTCCTATCCACTCTATAATCTCAAAGAGATAATGTGGGCAAATCACGAACCAAAACATTCCCCCTTTAGGAATCTTGTATCCTTTATCATCCTTCTCCCTTAGTCTCGAAAGAAGATGGTGTGATGGTAGAAGTTGCCAATGATCCCTACAAGAAACAAAGCAACCCCAGGATACTTCGAGTCGATCACAGGCTCTGCTACTTCTTGACAGAGATATTGTGCATAAATCATGATGATGGAGGTGGTGCAGTAGGTGAATGATATAAAAACCACTGAATCGATCATCATTGAGCCGCTATAGCTATGAATGAACAGGACCTGTGAAGCCAAATTCAGAAGAGAAAAACATTAGCACTTTGCCTGTTTCTCAGGATTGCTAGATGTTAGGGTTAATTGCGGGTATGTCTCTTATACTACCTCTCAATTGCGGATAGACCCCCTGTACTATCGCGCAATTGCGGATAGACCCCCCGAGTGATTTTTTTTGACTATTTTATCCGCCAGAAGGTCTATTTGTCAAAAAATAATTTCCCTCTCTTTGAGGGTGAAAGAGTCAAAAAAGTTCACTCATGTGGTTTATCTAACTACAGGTGTCTATCCATAATTAGGCGATAGTAAATGGGGTCTATCCACAATTAAGCATGGATGTTATAAAGATTGTTGTATTCTTACCTCAAATACTCTCTTGAAGAAGTGAAGACGACTGAGTGCAGAACTGAGTAACAAACACTTTGATCCAGGGTTGCTGAGAATTGTAAGAGAGCCAAGGCTTGCAGCAAGTGCTGGTGTGTATCCCACAAGCATCCCAATCCTGCTTGCTACTTTAGTTTCCTTCCTGTTTTCTGGTGAACTCGAGTTTAAAAAAAACTTGGGAGTATGGAATATTTTTGCCTCTGACTTCAGAGAAGCCGGCATTTAACATGGAAACTAAGGCTACTACAGACGCAACCTTGACAAAGACGGAGGCAGGACCATGAAGCTTAACAAGATAGACATTCTCTGTGTTTGTGTGTATGAGTGCTGTGGTGTCTTTTATGAGAAATCATGTGTCTTTTATGAGAAATTATGGGAAACCATGTGATTCCTACGTGGCCCTTTACAGTATCAGGAGAACTTGAGGATATCATTGCCTGCAGAAATATAAGCTTCAGAATACTTGTTATGTCTACTTCAAAACCTAGTGCCCAATAATAACCACAAAATTTTATAACACGAGATATAACACAGATGAAGAGGCAAATTCAGTCACCATACTATTTATCTCTATTCAACAGCCTACACGTGATTACAGGAAAAAAGAGCCAAACTTCAATCACTCTACTATACATCTCTCATGGGGTAAAATACTCTACATAATGCACCATGTGGATCTCAAGCAAAGAACCTCTGAGCCTGAGCAACAAATGAAAGAGAGGGAAAACAGAAGGGGGGAAAAACAAGCTGAATGTTAGATATGCAATCCACTAGGATTCATACAAGAATACATCTCCAACTGATTACTATGTTCAAATTGACCTCAAGAAGAAATCTTGAAGGACACAAGGCCATGGTCATCTGAGTGTTCTTGAGAGGCTCTGCCTCCGCCTCAGACGGGGCTTCTTATCTAAAAGCAGCAGTAAGCCAGCATTGTTGTTTGTTATTCCAAACGTATACCTGACATAAGCCAGATGAACAATCAGCTACCATCCATCATCACAAATAAATTGCAAACTTGTGATAGCGTGTAAATTGAAACACCAGTACTTACTTGGTTCTTGATACTCTTCTCCTCCAGAAAAGAAATGAAGTGATCCACTAGAGCAAGATACAAAAAGCAAAAAGAGTAAGTAAACATAGAATGATATAAATAGCTAGATGTGATGCATGAAACAGCACAAGAAAGAATGTCCTTCAAATGCAGTACTGATTTACTACATAGAGATTATAGGTGAGATCATACTTTTGAGAACTTAGACAAACTATTCAACTTGGTGGAAACAAAAGGGTTCAAGAGACAGAGCCACACGTATCTATGAGACAGTAATACTTTCTGTGCTTTTTGAAAAGTAATCGAGTCTGTTGTACTTGGTGGAAACAAAAGGGTTCAAGAGACATTGCCACACATATCTATGAGACAGCATTACTTTCTGTGCTTTTTGAAAAGTAATCGAGTCTGTTGTAATACTTGCGCCGCAAAAACGCATTGTTTTTCTTACTTGAATAGTGATATGCTATAAAATATATCGGTAGTTATTTGAAGCCTTAAAAGTAAAATATAATCGGAATAAGATGGGATAAGCTCATATCAAGTAACAAATAGAGACCATATATATTTTACAGTAAAAATAGAGACCATATCAAACTTTGTATCGGTGCCTGATTATTACAGTAGCTTACCTCTTGCAAGTTGCAACCCCTATGCTAAGGTTAATAATGAGATTTTTATTATATTTGTTTCCTTTTCCATTTCTTTTTCACTAAACATGTCATATAGCCACAACTATACCAACTACTGTTAGTTCTTAGGATATCATGTACATCAAATAAATCAACTTTCCACGAATAGTACACACTGCACACATTAATAGATGAGAAGACTGCTACGCAAGCTCAAAGCTTAAAAATATTGAGAATAAAAGAGCTAAGAATGCAGGACCCTACCAATTGACCCATAAATAAGGAAGTAAAATAATTATTAAATTTAAGATAGAAAAGATGGCTACACTAGAGAGTACAAAATGAGCTAATCAACTAAATGCCGTGATTAGTACTGGATTCTTCTGGTCAACCATAGGCAACTTCTAGAAAGGCTGCACAATCACGAATCACATTCATACTGGACGCAGTTTTCTCTCCACGGCTCGACCATGTGACAATAAGATCCTATAAACAGTCCATTGTAATTACCTCCCTACTCAAATATTATTACCCGCCCGCTATTTTATATAAGGTACTCAGCAGCAATTCTGAATCTAAATAGAGTTGATGTCTGCCTCTCTGATGAGAGTTATGCTCAAAAGACTAGGATGAAGTCCATTTTGGGGGAAAAGTTTTATGTTTTTTCTTAGAATTATAAGATTATGATAGTTATTAATGATGAAATGATCCCAAAGAGGAAAATTCTAAGAACTTCCAAAAATTATGGTAATCTCTTCTATATATTATCTAACGAGTGAATGTCATGAAACTACCACGAACTTTAGGGCATTTTACCCAACTAATTTTCTTAGAAAACTACCATAAACTTCCAAACTGCTAAAGAATTTCATAAACCATTGAAAATTATTGCTAACGACGTTAACATCTTGGATAAAAGTTCTAAACTATCCATATTTTTATCTATCAACCCACAATGTTCAATAAGAAAATTATGGGAGGTATATAAAGTACATGGGGCAAAATTGACCAAAACACACAATATATTTAAGCTTATGGCAACTTGTCCTATCATGTTATTTTTCTCTAATAAAAAAAGTTTACAGTAGCTTGTTCTACCTCAAAGTTCATGGTAGTTTTGTGAAAGTTAACTATATAACAATGGTGCTCATCAGATTATGATAACCAAATAGTACTTGTAACCCAATCATGCCAGTTCATACCAAACTACAGTATGCTTTTCCTACACCATACTAACCAAGAGTCTTGGAAGTTACCTTTATCGCCGTAACAATGGAAAAACTTCTGATAAAAGAATGCTTTTTAACCATCTTGTTGTTGGTGTTTTGCTGTGCCTGCGGCGTAACCTCCTTACACAGCTGCTGAGCTATCTCCCTCAACAAGATGAGCTGCGCCTTGTCCTTCCCCATTGTTAGCATCGTCTGCCTCATTGTCTCCCTGTCCGCTTCCAGCGCCTGCAGCCTCAAATTCAAGATCTTAATTTCCTCCTCCTCTTTCTCCACCTTCTCCTCCTTTATATCAATCTCCCTCGGTGGGCTTATATAACTCTCCGGCCCACAATAATGCACTCTGTCCACAGTATAAACCCTATCGCTGATGTCATCCTTCACCGGAAACAAGCTCGACACAGGGCTCTCTGTCGATAACTTCCTCGCATGCTGAGGCTTTTGAGGGGAGAAACCCACCACCCCTTTTTCTTGAATCTCCATCTGCGTAATCCTCTGCTCAAGATTCTGTATTTGATCCCTTGGGGTTTCACCAAACGCGTACTTATCAAGATCCGTGCTTGTTTCTTCGTTATTATCCGGTATCTTGCATCTCAATGGAGGGTAATCGAAGGCGGCGGCTGCAGCGTTGAGGGCGTTGGGAGTATGAGGCTCGGAGATGATCGGGCCGAAACCGAAGTTTACAAGGCGATGCTTGTAGGCTTGGATTTCGCTGGTTAGGGATTGGATCGCGAGATCTCGCTTGAAGAGGAGTTCTTCGAGCTCGGCGATCTCTTCCTGATCGTGAGACATCCTCTCCTCGGCGTACCGCTTGAATTGGCGGAACTCCATCTGGACCTCCGCCTTCTCTCGCTGCAGAGGCGACGCTCATCGACATCGCTCGCTGGCGGCGGAGCGCGGCGGCGCTCCGCTGCCTTCTTCCAGCTCGCCATACAGCTCGCTGGATGCGACTGCTGGTGGTCTGTTTAGGGTTTGGCGGAGGGCACGCGCGCCTGCGTTCTTGATCTCGACGCGGGCGGTTGACGTCGCCGGAGTGGTTATCGCCGCCGACGTCATTGTCCAGCTTGCGCTTCTGGGTTTGGCGACGGCCGCAGAGGGGACGTGCATGACGCACGTGTCGCCGGAGAGAGCGGCGGCGGAGCGAGATTTGAGACTACCTATGATTTTGACCTTCGTCTTCTCTTCGATTTCTCAAAACTAGGGTTTGGCTTCTTCTCGACTCTTCCGCGCCGCCGGCGAGAAATTGCGCGGCAGCGGGAAGAAGAAGACGAGAAATTGGAAGAGAAGACGTTTGAAGCCCTAGAAATTTTGGAGGGATTTGGGATGGAATTCTATTCTAGGGTTTGTGGGTTTGTTTGGGGAAAGAGAGAAAAAAGAGAGGGAACGTTTGAAACCCTAGAAAATTTCTTGTCTTTTCATGTTTTTTATTTTTATTTATTTTGCTTGTCCGTGAGCTTCTTTTGTTAGAATTCGTTATTATTATTATTTTGTTGGAATAAAAATTAAAAATTAATAATAATTTACTGGAGAGAAGGGGAAGAGGAATGAGGTCCGCTCTTTTGTTTTCTTCCCCTAAATTTAAGTCTCCCGCCTAATTACGCCATATTACTATTTATTATTATTATTTATTAATAAAACGGAGTTTGAAGAGATTTTATAATCTTTATATAGGAGTTGTTAGGGAATAATATTGTTGATGGTTTATATAATCACACAGTCAGTATACGTCTAAGATAGGATAATTTCGATGAGGTAGATGAGATTGATGAAGGGATCGCCTCCTTCTCCGACTTTATGTCTGGTTCTTGAATTGTGGTTGCTGAATAGTCTGCACATGTAGAAACTCGTGAGAGGACAGAGATTGGTTCCCCCGTTGTAACTCCAACGATCAAGTTAGATGATGAACTTGAGTGGAAGGAAAAGACCAGAACTTAGAATTCTCTCTTTTATTTTTCATTTTGGCCTCCCTCTCAGAAAGGTGAATAGTACATGTATATATATTGTGGGAGAATGGTAGATTGGACATCTCGAGTGAGGATGAAGTAGTGATAGCGAGGTATAGACTGGTAGCTATGTCAGCATCCACTTTACGGGTGTCGGCTGACGACTGGAGGGAGGATCTCCTCAGCATTAAATGAGAAGAGAGGGGGAGTATGGGCTGGTGGCTGCGTCAGCATCCACTTTACAGGTGTCGGCTGGCGACTGGAGGGAGGATATTCTCAGCATTAAATGAGAAGAGAGAGAGGGGGTATGGGCCGGTGGTTGCGTCAACATCCGCTTTACGGATGTCAGCAGACGACTAGAGGGAAGATCTCCTCATCATTAAATGAGAAGAGAGAGAAAGTATGGGCTGGTGGCTGCGTCAGCATCCACTTTACAGGTGTCGGCAGATGATTGGGGGAAAGATCATTTCAGCATTGGAGAGATCATCTCAGCATCGAATGGAGAGTAATCGGCGGTAATGGCAGAGCTCATGTGATATGACAAGTCATGAAGACTATCAGGGCTAGGGTCATGATGGGATTTGTCCAGTGTTGACCGCAGTACTGACGTGTGGCTAGAGGGAAAAGTCCGAGACAAATACTATCCTCCAGTTTGGCCGAGAAGTAACGCCCATCGAGTCATCATCACAAGGCATTGAGTAGGCTTCAAGCGAGTCGACTTCGACAAGAGGGTCGACTGATCCTGCCCCTCGAGTCATCATGAAGAGTATTGGTTTGACGAGTTGGCCAAGTTGGGACTTCCACTGGGCTTGGGTCATCAAGCTGGTTGGAGCCTTACTTGCGGAAATACACTCGCCCATTGTTTGGCGAGTTGTATTTCGACGAATGAGAATACCATAACAAATATAATCAACTTGAGTAATTGTATGATTTGTTTGAAATACTACGTTCCTATATAAGTGAAGAGGTTATGAAACTTTCTAATGTAAATTAAATATCGTAATTTTTTAAAAGAATATATGAATTAGGGGATGTTATAAAAGAGAGAGATTGAGCGTTTTAAATTGACTCATGAGACTGATGTCTCGGTTAATCTTTAACTATCCTCTATCCTTGAAAGCTACCTTCAACCCTATTTTTACTTTTTCCCCCCCTCACTTTTTAATACCTAATAAAAAAAGTATTGAAGGTCAATGTTATTAATTTGATGAAGGGAAATATATGTTACTATTTCGTAATTTGAGAGGTACCTTTATCCAACATTTATCTCCATGCTACAATATGATAATAAGAAAACCATTTGATCTCATAATGATGACTCCAAATGAATCTAAGACAAAATCTTAGTCAACGCAACACCAAATACAAAGAGGAAGAAAAAGAGCCGGCGAAAGGCCAACAACTCCACCTTTAATTATTTTACACGTACACAATAAGTGACGTTTAGGGGCTGTTTGGTTGGTTTCCTAAAAACCAAGAAAAGGAAATCGGTACAAGGAAATCAATAAAATAATATTTTTATCCATTTTCATCCCTAAAACTCACCCACAACATCCAATAAAATATTATTTTTATCCTCCAACTCATCTCATTTCATCTACTTTCTTACCTTTAAAAATAAACCAAACACAAGAAATGTGTCACATCATCCAACTCATCACATCTCATTTTATCTCATTTTTAAAAATCACACACATCATCCAATAATATTGTGACAACTCATCTCATCTCATTAAACATTCCTTTCCACCCATTTCCTCAAAAAAAAACAAGAAATTAATTTCCTTAAGTACATGTCACATCATCCAATAATATACCTCCAACTCATCTCATCTCATCTATTTTCTTATTTTTAAAAACGAACCAAACACAAACAACCTCAAAACATCATCCAATAATATACCTCCAATTCATTTCCTTATTTTTTTAACCAACCAAACAACCTCAAAACAAGTTTTTAAAAAAATCACTCACATCATCCAATAATAAGGTGACAACTCATCTCATCTCATCTCCTATTCTATAATTTCCTTTTTTTTAAACCAACCAAACAACTTCAAAGTAATTATAATAGGAAATAGGTTTCCTAAAGTTTGATTTCCCAGTTTTTTTGGCCAAACGAACAGGCCCTTAAGTGAAAGCGTCATAAAAACATCCGACATGATGCAGAGACAGACGAAACTATACTTCATAAATCTGGTATTCTTGTTCTTCAAATTTATTTATCAATATACTAAAACTATTGGGGTTGGTATATTGTAGCTTAACGTTATTCATTCTACAGTATAACTCAATAGATTATTGTTAGAAGAGACGATAGATAATTTTTGGCTAAAATACCAAATTGGTATATTTATACGAACGTTTTTGCCAGTTTTGTATTTTAAAAACTCCGGCGACGACAAGGCATTAAAGCTAGTACTTTTTGTCAATAAGGCACTTTTTTTAAAACTCCGGTGAGAAATTTTACATTTAACCCCCTTATCTCTCAAAATTATTAAATTTGTGCCCTCTCTCTCCTCCTCCTCCTCCTCCTCCTCCTCCTCCTCCCTCATTCCCCTCTCCCTCCAGCGCACCATCGTCCTCCTCCTCCTCTCCTCCGTCCTCATCTCCCTCCTCTAGGTCAACCTCGGCCCCGTCATCCCCTCCCTCTCCTCCTCCTCCTCATACGCTGAAAGTGGCAGCTGCTGAAAGAACGGAGAATTGAAAGGTTGTTCAACATTTTTGTGATCAGTTAATGGAAGCCTAAATAATTACCTTTGTAGTGAAAATTGACAATTTGAAACATGGTGCTTCACAAGAGATTGGACTATGGATCCATTGGCTATCGGGTTCCTCCGATGCCGCGAGTTCCGAAATCACCTAGGGTCTGTACATAAACCTTACTCATTCTTGATTTGTTTGTTTGAATTTTCTTTAATTGTTTGCATTTGTTTTCATACAGGGAAAACGATCAGAGAGAGAGAATGAGATTCCATTAATTGTTTACATAAACTTTACTCATTCTTGATCTGCTTGCCACTGTGGCGGGAGAATTGTTATCCTCAGAGAGAGAGAATTCTTCACCTCCATGTAAGATATTTGCAGGAGCTAACATTAAGCAAGAACAGTAAGACAATGAGATTCCATTCAAAGCTGAAGTCTTTGATCAGGGGAGCTGCAATGAAAGTACATTGGGTTCTTCGAAATCTATGTTTAAGAGGCAGGTTAGTACTCCAAAACCCTTGGAGAAGATTGCTGGAGAATTGGTGGCTGAGGATGGAATCAAGAGGAGGGAGATGGGGACGGAGGAGAGGAGGAGGAGGACGATGGTGCGCTGGAGGGAGAGGGGAATGTGAGAGGAGGAGGAGAGAGAGGGTACAAATTTAATAATTTTGGGAGATAAGGGGGTTAAATGCAAAATTTCTCTTCAGAGTTTTGAGAAAAGTACCTTATTGACAAAAAGTACGAGCTTTAATGCATTGTCGTCGCCGGAGTTTTTAAAAATACCAAACTGGCAAAAGCGTTCGTATAAATATATCAATTTTGATATTTTAGCCGATAAATTTTGTTTACAAACCCAATATTCAACCCAATTTGCTTAAAAGTCCATAACTTTAAAAATCCATCTCAATTACGTAATGCTCCAAGGATATAAAACTTTTCTCAGCTCTGCAACATCAGCTCAATATAGTTAAAAATAAGACAATTTTTTAAAAGAGCCCTAATTTCAAATTTATTCCCCAAAAACGACCAATTTCAAGTTTATTTGTCAAAACCGACCTGGTTTCAACCACATGGCTAAAAGCAGATCGGTTTTGTCGAAAAAAGTTCCCAAACTTCACAGGACTTGAAGTCCCGTGAAGTTTAGCAATTATTTTGTTAACCTGGTAAACTTCACGGAACTTAAAGTCCCGTGAAGTTTTATTTTAGAGCTGAAACTTCACGAGACTTGAAGT